ATATAAAAATTCTCCAAATCATTATTTACTAGAGAAATGCAAAAATCAAAACAATTCTGAGGTGCCACCTCACATCTTTAATAAATGACAAATCCTGAAGGGCATGTGGGACAGTTGAAACACTAATGAACTATTGATGGAATTGTGAACTGGTTCAACCATTCTGGAGAATAATTTAGAACTATGCCCAAAGGGCTATAAAACTATGCATACCCCTTGACCTGTCAGGATCCCAAAGAGATCAAAGAAAAAGGACCTATATGTATAAAAATATAGCAGTTCTTTTTATGGTAGCAAAGAATTAGAAACAGAGGGGATGTCCATCAATTGGGTAATGGCTGAACAAGTTGTGATACATGATCATGATGGAATGCTATTGTGCTATAAGAAATGATGGAAGAGAGTTTCAGAAAAACCTGGAAAGACCTACGTGAATTGCTGCAAAGTGAATTGAGCAAAACCAGGAGATCATTGTATACAGTAATAGCAATGTTGTAATGATTACTGACTTGGAAAGACTTAACTACTCTGATCAATATAATCATTCATGACAAATTGGAAGGACTCATGATGAAAAGTGCTATTCACCTCCAGAGAGAGAACTGAAAAACTCTGAGTTAAAATTTAAGCATAATTTTCTCAGTTTCTTTATTTTTCTTGCTTTTTGTGACATGGATAATATGGAATGTTTTACATGATTTCAAATGTATAATGAGAATCATATTGTTTGCCTTCTCAGAGGTTGGGGTAGGGACTGGAGGGAGGAAGAGAATTTAGAACTCAATTTTTTTTAAGTGTTAAGAATAAATATTCCTTTTTTAAAAAAAGACAAACATTAAGCACGATTACATCTTGTATTTTCTACATCTTTCAGGCAATTGTGAAATGGTAAAGATGTGGTATGTTTTTGAATATCATTTGCGAAAACTTACTTGTTCCCTATTAATAATCTTATTGAGGATGCCATCAATTTTTGTATAGGTGACCCTGATAAAGATTTTGTACAGATGACAGAATAAATATATGTTAGTAGGTATTGTTGTTTTCTAGTTCACCTTTTTGATATCTATTTGATCTGAGGTTTTTTTATATATATACACCTTTGGTGTCTTCCATTCCTTTAGATATCCTTCACATTTGTATTGACTCCAGCATATTCTGCTTTATGGAAACAATCCAATTTATTATCTTTTTGTTTCACATTTTTATCTTTAGCGATATTTCTACTTTTTCTGTAAGCACCTTGGGGACTGTAATTTCACAGTCCAAGTGTGATGGACTATACTCTGAAGAGAAAATATTGAAACGATTTTTGCAAAATTTCCCATTCTTCTTCTGTTTGTTCCATTTTCATCTTTGGATGCCCTTAGGATGTCCTGGATTAGTTGGAAAGCTCACCAAACTTTCTTCAGACTGGTTTTACTCGCCACTGCTTCTCTCTGCTTTATAAAATACTAAGATAAGATTTTATAGGTGAATGCATATGCTAACCTGATTTTTCTTTTCCAGTCATCTCTTTCTCATAGCTAAGGTATTTTTTGATCTCTTTTAATCACCTTGCTGTACAGTTACTTGACACAGATCTAATTTCTGGAAGAAATTATTATAGTCAATGTCTATGTAATTTTTGTTGTCCATTTATTATTTTTTTATTTTCAATCACTTTTTAAATTCAGAGTTAAAACTTCTTAATTCTATGCCATATCTTTTCTAATGGATATTATTTCTTCTTGCTTATCATAAATTCTGTGAGTCAGTGATCTGACTTTGCACAGACAGCTAACTGAGGGATAACTTTCACAGCCATATAAAGTCATTTCCTGTTCATTAAAATGTAGTCAGCTTCATTCTTTGTGATGTAATTTAGTGCCCTCGCCTCCACGTCCAGTGTTTACCAATTCTGTCTCTGAAGACTTCATGATATAGAGACATAAGGCTTTTGTATAATCTACAAAGTCTTTATTCTTTGTCATTTCTTTTTCTTGAATCATATTTTCTCATCTATTTCTCCCTATCCTCACCTTTTCTCACTTGTGTATGGAAGTCACCAAATATGAGTGTATGTTGATTTAATTTATAGGGTTTTGACAAGTTCTTCATAGGATTTCTTTACTACTTCATCCTCAGCTATCAATGTTGATATGTAAACTCCAACTATTTTCATTGTGGTCTTTTTGCAGGTACTTGTCATTAGTGCTATAATGGATGATGACCAAATGTACTGTGAAGTGATAGTTCTTGTAACGATGGGGCACATGATAAAACTCACTTCATCGGTTCCTTTTGTTGCCTCTCTAAAGAATACTTTCTATATATCTGTAACGTTCTTCTTCTTTCATTTACAGTAAGAATATAAAAATTGATACAGTTCAGTTCCTCCAGTAATATGTCCACTTGTAATGAAAACATTGATGGGCAACAATGCTGTCCTGGTAACATTGCATTTTAAGTATGAGCCGCCAAGCTCAAATTCCAGGAAGCTTGACTCCAATTTGACTGGCAGCCCTTACAGCACACATTCTTCTGAAATGTCCCTTTAAGGTCTAATCAAATTAATTCTGAACTCACTTCCAAATATAAATCTCTTCCCTTCCCATATGTGCTTAGGGAAAAACTGAGTCATCAAAGACAAATTCACTATGCCAACTCATTTGGGAGATCTTTAGAGATGAGAACTCAGAAGTTTTTGGAAAGGGTGATAAATATTTAAGTAGTAAAGTCACCATTTTGTAAATTTACTAAAGGTGATTGTAATATCCCACCCTTTAAGAGTTTTTTGTTCATATTATCACAGTCGTGCCAATTACTGTTTATTAGTTTGAATATTTTGCAATACATCCTAGAGATCTGGATACACTGTGGATAGAAATGAGTTGTTTTTATTTTGTAATATATAACAATCCTTGTTGTTGAGAGTAAACTCAGTTTATTTTAATAAAAAAATTTCTTATTAAGCTTCAAAAAATGTTGTACAGAAATAATAGAGATGATCCTGTAAGTCAGTTTGTCATAAATATGTCAATTTTTTTTCTATCAAACATCACTGAAAATTCTAAAATTAAAAAAGGCAAGAGGCATTTATTAAGCACATGCTTAGGCACTGTACTAAGCACTTAAAATATTATTTATTTTATCTTCACAACAACCATGTAAGATAGGTGCTATTATTCCCACTTATAGATGAGGAGACTGAGGCAGATAAAGGTTAAATGACTTGCCTAGGGTCATATAACTAGTAAGTGTCTGAGGTCATATTTGAACTCAAATCTTCCTAACTCCACTTCCAGTGCTCTATCCACTGTACCACCTAGCTAAACTTTATATGATGATAGCTAGCTAACTACCATTTACACTTCCACCCACCCCAGGTTACCTAGTAAAAGCCCTCTTGGCTCTGACTTCAAATGCTAATTCTTTGAAAACTGATAATAGATACATGTATTGTATATATGGTAACACTCCATCAATGAGAATAACTAGCATGCTCCCTTCTGTAACCAATAACCCTGGGAAGTAGGTGCTATTATTATTTCCTCATTTTATAGTTGAGGAAACTGAGGCAGATTTCAGTTAGGTGACTCGTCTAGGATCACACAATTAATAAGTGTCTAAGGCAGGATTCAAACTCAGTTCTTCCTTTCTCCAGGACCAGTGCTCTATCTACTGAGTAGCCAACTTTTCAACTTATAAGCAGAGTTGGGATTTCTAAAGGGATATGAAGTAAACATGGAAATTCATAAAATTTGGAAATATAAACACAGATGAAAGGAATAAAATGAGAAATAATTCCAATAGCATGTTTGCATTTCAGCATAATCAGCCCCAGCTTATTAATGCTAATGAGACAGCACCATGGTAAAATTGAAAGAACTCTGGTTTGGGAGTAAGAAGACCTATGTTTAATTCCTGCCTCTGTCACTAATAACTTTTGTGACTTTGGGCAAGTTATGTAATCTTTCTCAGTCTCTTCTGCAAAACGACAGGGTTGGGCCGGCTTCTCAAGTACCTTAGAAATCCATGATCATCTATGACAGGTGTTCTCAACTCATAGAATGAGATCTACTATTAGGGTTGAAGCCTTAATTTCTCTTCAACCTGCCTTCCCTCTATAGTTTGCCATGAATGCCAGCCACTACAGAGAGGATCAAAGCTGGGAGTAGTATCCCCTTTCCTATTACATTTGCCAATTTTACAGTCAAAATCCTGAAAGCTATTCTTGGGTTCATAGGACTTTGGGGAAATAAAAAGTAGCCCTTTGTTACAAAATATTGAAGATTACTTATCTTTGGGGACAAATATTTATTCCACACTTTTGTACTTTGGATAGGTGGTGTTATTATTAGGAGGGGTATCATACAACTTGACCTGCAGTGAAGAGATCCCCAATTCCCTTGAGGTAAGATCCCCTTGTATTGTTTCCTTGGAAAACACTGGGAGAGGGGGAGGACAGATATGAAAGCAGCAGTGAGTGAATGAATAAATGAATTAATAAATGAATGAAAAAGCATTTATTAAGTGCTTATGACATACAAAGTACTCTGCTAAGTGTTGGGGGTACAGATACAAAAGGGAATATAGTCCCTAACCTCAAGGAACCTATATTCATCTATATACATGTATATATGTATGTACACATATATATATATAAAATATTTTATAACATTATTTTGATGTTATATTTTAATATAACAACATTATATACTACAATAACATGTTATATGCACATAGGAGTACAGACATGTTTCTAATTACAGAAAAATTTGAGAACAAATTTATTTGGAACCCCCCACTTTAAAAAGCTGTAACTAATGATAATTTTGAATAAAAGTTTCTTGTTTTTTTTTATTGGAAAACGCTTTGCCTGCTTATGTTTGAGTGCTAAGGACTTACCAGTTAGGGTACACAAAGACTATACTGGAAGTTAGGACAAAGATATTTTCAGACTCCCTACCATGTCCTTTCACTATATACACAAAAGTACCACAAAAGAAAATAAATACCTTGTTATAATATCCTCCAAGAGTATATTGTCTTCCTTGTTTTCCAGGAGGACCCTGTATTAGAAATGAATCTAACATGAGTCATAAACACTTATCAAAGGAAATATTTGTGTAGTTATATGGCAGAGAACCCTTGACATGTTAATATTTCAGTACAGCACTTAAAATGAATTTATTTTACTATAAATCCTCTTTTATCTGGCATGGTTATGGAAAGAAACATGCTGGTTATTCTGGTTGATGGAGAGTTGCCACATACACACACACACACACACACACACACACATACACATACACACACATAAAATACATGGATTATCAGTTTTTAAAGAATTAGAATTTGAAGCCATAGCCAAGAACACTTTGACTGGGTGTCCCGAAGGGTAAAAAAGTGTTTTTCTTCTCCATTCATCTTTTTCAGTCAATCAACAATCAATTATTAAGCACCACTTATTAAGTGCCTGGCACTATGTTAAGTATTGGGAATATAAAGACAGCAGTGAAACAGTTCTTGTCCTCAAAGAGCTTACATCCTGTTGGAATATAAATATGCTTAGTTTTGGGAGGCAAGACTTGCTTTTTTAAACAGAGAATGTATCTTTTGGGTTTTATATCCTTTTCAGTAAAACAAGCTATCATAACTTTAAGCTAAGAGCTTAAAACTGCATGCACCAAGCCTTTTGGGACACCCAGTATATGGGCAATAAAATATTGATGTTTTAGCAACTTAGAACTTGGTACTACCTCACTATGGGGTAACCAAGTTCTTTGAGGTCAGGTACTGCTTTGCTTTTGTTTTTGTGCCAGAATCTGGCACAGAACCTGTCACATGCTTAAAAAATGCTTCTTTCCTCCCTTTCCCTTCTTCCCAACTGGCATCACTTTAATCTTTGTCATTGACTTCCAGAATTTTCAGTAACTTTTACTAGAAAAAAAGTTGTGATAAACTCATTGGCACGATCATCTGTGTTGTTTCAGTAAAACTTAATAAATGCAATCATTTCTGTATTCTCAGTATAGAATTATTGGCAGATTTCTCAGAGTAAAATTTCTTTGTAGTTTATCTTAGTATCAAAGCATATCAGCAACTTAGTAGTCAGTTCTGTTCATGGTGTCATGGACTTAATATAAGTACTTGATATATGAAGTATGGATATATGAAGAAATCCATCTGAACAGATCCATAGAGATTATGAGTAACATGCACAACTTTCCTATATGGGTCAGGTTAAACAAAGGCCATAAAGGTCACATAAAATATGTGACAGATTACTTCACTTCTGGTCCTAGCAGATATTTTTAGGTTGAGGTTTGTATGAACAAAAAATAATTAATGTGCGAGAGAATCATAGACATTTAAACCTTAGAGACCACAGAGTCCAATTCATTCATTTGACAGATGAGGCCTAAAAAGTCCAGTGACCTGATCGAAGTCACAGAGAAAGGAAGTTGCAGAATCAGAATTCAAGCCTCGGTCCTCTCTCTCCAAGTTCAGATGCTCTACACTGACTCTCAATATGTTTAAAAACATTTGGTACTATACCAACACATATATGCATCCATCCATCCATCTATCCATCCATCCATACATACATACATATATTGTATATGGACATTGAGGGGATTTATTTTGCTTGAAAATGCATATTTGTCATGAGAAATTTATTTGTTTTTCCCTATAGGGTAAGGTATGGAAGTCAGAGAACATAGATTTCTGTTTATTTTGTTTTAAAATAGAAACATGGGGTGTAAATGTGGGGTGTACTACAGATGTGGTTTTATATGCATTTTCAAATGATGTCTGTTATTAGTTTTACTTCATTGTTTTAATTTGTCACAAGAGACCTCTCACAAAGTGAGTTGTGGTTCAGTTGTTTCATTCATGTATGACTCTTCATGATCTCATTTGGGGTTTTCTTGCAATGATACTGGAATAGTTTGCTATATCCTTCTCCAGATCATTTTACAGATAAGGAAACCGAGGCAAATAGAGTTAAGTGACTTGCCTGGGGCCACACAGTTAAAAAGTGTACGCTAAATAAGTTTAATAAGAGGCTGGATTTGAACTCATGTCTTCCTGACTCCAAGCCTGGTACTCTATCTACTGTGCTACCTGGCTGCCCTAAAATGCTACAAACTGAGAGTAATCTGTAAATGTCTGTCATGTGAAAACAAAACACATCCAGAAGGGTGTAGTCATATATTACTGAGAAATAAATAAAGATGATTGCTTAAAAACAAAAGACTTTCAGAAAGAGCCAATGGAAAGGGAATTACTGAAGGTACGTGACAGAAAGAAAGTACTTGAATGATTGATTGCATTGAGTGGCAGAAGAAAAACATAAGGGGAATGAGATGTTATGCAGGTCTTGCTTTGAGCATTACCACACTTCTTATGGTAACTGTAATGGAGCCAGGAAACAGGCATATCCCCAAACACTGCATTTCAAATTACCTGTGTGCCCTGTCCTTACTACTTCACTAATAGAATGTAAGCTCTTTGAGAGTAGGAACAACTTTACTTTTGTAAAATAGCACAGTGCCTGGATAGCAGATTCTTAATAAATGTGTGTTGACTTTTTTGTTGAAACTTTGAGATTGATTAACTCTGCAAGTTTATTATTTCAGTTCTTCTGATAGAGCGTGCTACACTAATCTACCTCCCATCACACCAATGTGCCAATCCTAGTCAGAAAAATCTCACTACGTTAGAAGTAAGTTGCATACCCTGACTCCAATCCTCCCTCCAACCCTCATTCCTTTAGCAATAGCTTTTTTTAAGTCATTGCACTAAGTTGAAATTGCCTTGTGATAAAATAAATATGACCTCAGCCTTCCCAATAATTTGTGAGGATAAATCATCCAAAGTAAATGTGGGTTTTGAGACCAGGGGCTTGAGGAAAAGGGAAAACATTTGGAACATTTTCTATAGGCAAAATACAAGAAGTCAGTAAGAACAGGGCAAAAGAATGTTTGAACAGTAGTTGAAGTCCCATTTGAGGTTGTGTTTCATAAATTTTTCTTGAGTGAAATCACATCAGTCTTACAACTTTTTTCAGAGAAGCCCAGTAGCAAAACCAAGAGAAGTCAGATAGTGGAGGTTGCCCAAAGAGGAGGATCATCAGTTGGGAAAGGTGCTGACATTCTAAGGGGCACATTGGAATGGTCTGGGACAGGGATGGGGAACCTGTGGCCTGGAGGCCACATGTGGATCTCTAGGTCCTCAAGTGCAGTCATTTGACTGAAGTCAAACTTCACAGAACAAATCCTTTTATTAAGGGGATTTGTAAGGGTTGCTAAAGAGAAATGGGTAGTTTTGCAATTATTTCATTAATGTGGGGCTGTCTAGAGGATCCAGTAGAGTAATCTAGACCCAAGGTAATACATTTTACTCTTTACCAAATGTTGATTCAGATGAATTGTACTGAATTCACAGCATAATATCTTGTACTTCCTTTCAGGCAACACAGAGCAACACCTTTGCAAATAGCTTGCCCTGGAATTTAACCATGCTTAGCTATGAATTTTGCATTTTTCTAATGCATAGATTTCTAATGCTCACACTAGAAAACTATATCCAGAAAATGCACCCAGAAGTATTGACAATATTTACATTTCCATAACTTTTATTTCTCCAATTGACAATTACGCCCTAATCAAATGATAAATTATGTTGTAAACATGGCAAATTCCATAAAACATCTCTACTCATCAACAAGGCTAATCTCTTTACCTTTGTCTTTGTTTCCATTTCCTCTCATCTCCTCCAGGATGTTGCTTTTGTAATCATTCCTTTACCCCATGTATCTTTAATTAGTATTTCCACTGTCTCCTTCTCATCTGCCTTAGATGTCTTCAATACTAATAAAGCTCTTTCATGATCTTTTAGCCCATTTAACTATTGTTCTTCTCCTTCACTGCTAACCTTCCTGAACAATTTGTTTCAACAAGATTCACTCCCCTAATACCTACTCTCTCTTCAACTTTTTGCTGTCAGGTTTCTACTCCCGCCATTCTTTTGAGACTAAACTCGCCAAGATCTTCAAATGATTTCCTAATCCTCAATCCTATGGACTTTTTTTTTTTGCAGTCCTGATTTTCTTTGATATTTCTATAATATTTGACACTTTTAATATCCCTCTTCCCTTGGGTATTCTCTCCTCTCTTGACTTCAGAAATCCTAAATGGTTCTGGCTTTCTTTTTACTCCTCTAACCATCCCTATTCAGTGTCCTTTGCTGGATTTTCATCCTCTTCCTGACCCCTTAAAGTAAGTGTTCTGTAAGGATCTATTCTTGACACTCTTCTTTATATATACTCCTACAGATTTATCTATCCTCTTCTCTGAGCTCCAGATTCCCATTTCCTACTGCCTATAGGAAATCTTTTCCTGGATGTCCCACTAGCATTTCAAACTCACAATGTCCCAAACTAAACTTATTGTATGTCCTCCTAAACTCTTTCCTCCTTCTGACTCTTTTATTTACACAAAACCTACATTCACCCACTCTAGTATATTTGAAACTTCACGACTATCACTGATTCTTCCCTTTGCCTAATCTCTCATATCCATTTATTTAATAAATTATGAGATTGCTAAACCTCTCATATCTATATCCTCTGCTCTATTCTCCTTATTCACATTACTACCCACTACAATCACTACTACTACTGGATTATTATAAATCCTGCTAACACATCATCCTTCTTCCACCCATTCCTTGCTCCAATCCATTGTTCATACCATGGCCAAGATATTTTTCTTTTTTATGAGTATCACACTTTTATTGACATTTAATGGCTATAGAGAACATTTTCATAGAGCAGAAAAAAGACAGACCTAGTGTGAAGAAAAAGATGAAATACAAACGAATATCCCTCACTATCATCTACTCCCTCAGAACTATCTGCTGCAATCTCAGGGCAGCCACTGTGTCTAACTGGCTCATATAACAATCTAGGATAGTGGAGCACAGAGAGGCTTGCCTAAGGTCACACAGGTAGCAAGTGTCTGCAGTAGAATTCAAACATGGTTCCTTCTGACTCCAAGTCCAG